AGGGAAAGTATGAAAGTTGTGCACGAGTCAAAATTTGTGGGATCCCTGAGCATGTCTTTATGGAGGGCATGTCTTCATGTCAGTGGGATCTGCTTTACTCAGTAAAGTGGCAGTGGGGGGTGAGGGGACAGTGTGCTATGAAGCGGTTTATAAGGAAAATGAACAAGGACAGATTTCCCTCCTGAGTTTCCCTCCTCGCCTGGGCCTTTTTCCCCAAATGTTTATTTATGATTGGGTTTTTTTTCTTTTTGGTATTCGTGGTTCATCACAGGCTCTGCGTTGTGTATCTGAGGACGGAGTTCTCTTCTTTACATCCCATTATCCTCCCGTCATTCACACCATGCAGCCTTGCGTTTTTCCCCCCTCTGCTTTTGCATGATAAATACTTCTCTGTATTATGTAGCTCTTTATTAGTAACATGGATTCATTCCACAGCTAACACAGACCTTGATTAGACAAGATCATCTCTGCCTTCGTGTGCCAAGCTCGGAGCCAGCTCTTCCTCCCTCCCTCTCCAAAGTTTCATTGAAAAGCCGCTGCTGTTTTCAGCAGTGCTGTCTGCTTCACCAGGATTCAAGACAAATTATCTATGCAGAAATTGGCATTTCTGATATTTATAAAAGGAAGGATAAAAAGAGAAAACTTCCTTTGAGTGGGCAGGCCTAACCTTACAAGCCTTTCTCTGTATGATAACGAGCAAATAAAGGCAAAACTTAAATGAAACAAAAAGTCCTTTGCGCCTTGATTAGTGAAGTGCCTTGTTTTGGTCTTTTCATGCTTCCTTGTTCTTTTTGCCTTAGCTGGCAGACTGCAACTGCCAAGAGAATAACGGTATTTGTACTAGGACATCCAGGGAGGAGATCCCTATGGGTATCATCTTCCCATGTTTTCTCAGTGATAAGATTTTTAAAGTTCATTGAATAATAAGGTGTATTTTCTCTTAGTAGTGATTAAAGTTAAATGCATTGATCAAAGGGTTAAAATAAGTCCTAGAAGAAGTAAAACAATAAAGCTTATTACTTCAAAAAACTGCATTTTAATGTCTTTCAATAAGTGATGCTTGTGATAGAAATTTGTGAGGTTGTTTTTGATTGCTAGTTGGAAGATTCTGCCTGTGGAATGATAGATTTGACATGTTGACTTTTTTTTTTATACTTCTCACTTTTTTGCTTGATTAGGTGAGGGACAGACAGCCTTTATTAGTTTCTTGTTGGATTGAACCCGAGTCTGCTGAAGTGAACTTTGTGTTGTGAGATCGTGGTAGATGGGGACAGAAGAGATTTATGTGCAATAGCATATTATTTTGCAGGTGTGCTCGGATTCTGGAGAGCAATGCAAAGCCGCCACGGTGCAGTTCTGCTCATCAGTTGATGCAAATTTTCCAGGCTGGGTTGGCTGCCCCGGGGCTCTGAGAGGGAGCAGCAGCTGGCAGCAGCACCCCCCAGCAATAAAGGTCCCGTTGGAGAAGGTGCTGAAGCAGGTGCTTGGAAAACTAGTAGCAGGAGGAGAGAAAAATACAGTCGGAGATGTGATATGTAAAGATGAAAGACACAAAATACGTGATGGTTTTTTTTTTTTTAACTGGCATTTGTAGACAGAAACATGATGAGCTGGAGAAAAGTGAATCCAGATGGCAGGAGCTGTGCAGAAGATTTTCTTTTCATAGTGGTGGGAGTGGGATGGGGCAAAGTTTGTGGAAGAGCAGAGAAAGTGGCCTAAACAGTATTGTCTAAGATGAACATCTGTTTTGCACTTGCTGTATCCACCTGGAAGCCATCGCCGTGGAGTGTGCTGAGCAAGTCAGGTGCCAAGTCCTTGTGCCACCATCACGCTGAGCCCTTCGAGCCCAGAGCTGGGATGCTGCCTCAGTACAGGACTGTGCCAGCACAAGTGAGCCCTGCTAGAAGAGGTGGGGGATGCCAGCAATCTTTCGGTGCATGCGGTGCTGGCAGGGACGGGAGGGTTTCTCCCAGGCTGAGGCACGGTGTAACTTCTGCAGCCAGCAACTCCGTTGACTCCACTGTGAGCTGGACCAGAGTAAGCTCCTTAGGCCAGTGGATGGGACGTGCAGCTCCTCAGTGGGTGAAAGCCCATCATCATTAATAGCAGAATATCTTCATTACTACGTCGTGGAATTGCTTGTTAACTAACAGCCTGAGAACTTCCCTGGGGTGTAAGGTTGTGTGTGCCATTTCTCATGGCCGTCCAGCAAGGCAGGCTGTGCAGCATTGCCGTGCTCCTTATGTTGGGAGTGGGTCGTCAGAGAACCCGAATATGGGTGAGCAGCGTGCTGTGCTCTCAGCCTTGAGGAATCAGTGCAGTAAACCACTTGATGCTGAGCCTCAGGCAAAAGACCGTACCCGTGCGTAAGTGCTTTTTTGCGCGTGGAGCACTCGAGAGGATTGAGCCCAAAGCGGAGGCCCAGGGGAGCTGCCGTCCGATGTATTGTTAGAGCCAGCAACTAAACAGAAGAACTTACTCCTTGTGGAAAATGTCAGTGCAGGTATTGCCAAATTCCTTATCCTTGGTAGCTCCGGGAGGCTTTTTCTTGCAGGGTAATTAATGTGTTTCTAAAGCGCAGTAGCTGCTCGTGGAGTAGCTCTTGAGTCCAGTCCCCATAGGAACACTCTGCGCTCCTTAAATATCCCCTTAAATGTGTGTGGCTTTGCTTAATTACCATGAATGAAGTTGGCAGGCCTTGCTGTAGCTGGGCTCAGATTCACACATTTTGCCGTTAAGATTAATTCTGAAACACATGCTCAGGACCCCAAGTTTTATTGACATATGATTCATTTCTTTTTTGGCAGATTTGAGTGGGCAGGAATAAATGTTTTAGACCAGCAGTAATGAGAGCTTGGAGATCATTCCCCAAAAGAAAAAAAAAAAATTGCCTGGTTATGGTGGGGAAAATAGCATAAAAATTCCTTCTCCCCTCAAATTAAGCCATTTTTACAGTGGAGGGAGTATGTATTGGACTTGCTTTTTTAACTTTATACTATGAGTGCACTAGAATGATGGTCATTTAAGAAGCTGTCAGCTTTTTACGTTCAAAATGGTATGTGCTCCACAAATGGAGTGGCTTTCCTATGGCAGCTCTCTGCAATTTTTTATTCCCGTCTCAGGGATAAGCCTACAGCAAGTACTGCACTGTTCTTCTTACCGTGCCTTGGTTGGGAAGGAAAAAGGGGAAAGGAATTTGAAATTCAGGTAGTGACTCATTCTGGAGCATTCCTCTTGGGTGCTGTGTTGAATTCTGCCATGCAGCCAGGTGGTTATGGCACATGGTTTGGAGACCTCCAGAGTTGTTCTTGGCACCCTTGTTCCTTGGCTTATCCATTGCAGCCCTGAGAAGGAGCCATCCTTGGAGAACGTGGATGATGCCTTGTGTTTGGTAGCATGGTGTATTAGTGAAAATAATGCCAGGACCCATTTCTCATACAGGCATAAAGCACTGTACAGGCAGAAGCCTGGTTCAGAGAGTTGGCACAACAGTTGACTCAAGGCTGTGTGCATCAGTGTGGAACGGGAGTCCGTGTTCGTGACACAGTCATGGGAAAATAAATATGAAAAAGAGTGTCAGGGTTTTTTAATTTTCTTCCTTTTATTTTTTTTAGCTGTCCAAAAGCATAGCGGCTGCTTGATTAAAGGGATGATGCAGAATCACTGGT